ACAGTAGTTGCTTATTATTGAACAATATAATTTATTATATTTCGCTTATTCTGCTACACCTGGAACCCCACAATATTTTTTTATTTTACAACTTTCTCATGATTTTCAACCAAACTAACACGTCATGATCACAAAAAAGGGTTGTCCCTCAAAACAAAAGTAGCGTAGGAAGTGGTAGCCCTACCCCTCCTTCCGATGCGGCCAGCGAAGCCCTAGTTGATATATTTTTAATATCCTCACAATTAAAACACAGGGGGTGTTCGAAAACATCTTTTGTCGTATCAAATTTTATTTTTTTTGCGTCTGCATGGACAGATGTCTGACCGACTGTGATAGAGGTGACGTGGCTGAGTTTTAATGTTTTTTATCAAAGGGTTTTGCTTTGGTGGTCTAACGGTAGTTAATAATAATGAAGCTTGAGTTTATAAGTACAAGTGTTGGAGAAAACCGTTAACTATAGGTAATGTTCCTCCTAATATCTTTGGTTTCTTTTTCATTTTGATAAATATCACATTTACCAAACATAACCAAGTCAAACAAAGTCTTTTACTTTCCATTAACACACAAAACACTTTCATTTTATTATCTTTTCGCAAAACCCAAACAGAAACAGGTACGATACAAAAATGTATTCATCCTTTATATTTTCTTCCCTTCGTCTCAATCCCCTAAGAAAAAAAAGTAAAAAGGTCATTGCACCCGGAACAGTGCGGCACGCGCGGGCCACAGGTGTTCGCTCGATAATATCGATTTTTGTCGCACAATCGATACGTGACGTCACAAAGATGGCGGCTGCGCACGCAGCTGTCGTTTGATAAAAACACGTATGCTAATGAAGGGCCCATAAAATAGGGGTTCAACAATATCATTTTTGGGACACGCGAATGTAGTTTTTTGTTGTAATTTATTATCTACGTTGACGAATTTGAATTTTTGGGGTGTTATGGTCTGTGAACACTATGGTAGTATTTGGATATACATAGCTGTAGTTTTTGCTTCGTTATGTCGGATTAATTTGCAAAAAATGTGTTCTTTGGCAATTAATCCTTTCTTCGGTGAATTTTATTTTTAAATTGTTTCATCAATTATATTTATATGTTCATAATTTACATAACAATGTTAGGTAACAATTTGTTGCATTTGGTAAAATTAATTCACAGTACTATGTGTTTTACTATGAAGAGATGGAATAGTTGTATTAAAAGGTAGGTTAGTTACGGTATAGAATCTCTGATCTATGATGTACTGACAGACTCGCTTACAGCATGGGATTATGAGATGAGTAGTGGGTAGAGAAAACAATATGTCTCCTTTTTGAACTTCCTAAATTTTATTTTAATTTCCGTCTGGTGGATTATTTTAAAACATTATACACGTATTTTTTCATTTCTCACAAAATTAAATGCTTTCGACGATATATTGATTTGAAATGTCGTGTGACATCACAGCGTGCTAGAAAATGTAGCACGTTGTGACGTATCTACCTCCCACTCCTAAACTTCACTCAATTTTATCTAAGTATTGTAACTTTACACGAGTAAATAAAAAATACGTGTCTAATATTTTTTCATTATCTAACTGACGGACTAATTAGATTTTTAATTTTCTTACCCTGGAAACTACCCTATTATAATATCTCAACTCAAATAATATTATATAAATGTAAACGTCAGTTATGTTTGTCAGCTTTTTAAGTTTCGTCTCCCAAGTCTCATTCTTTAGTCTTAATTTTGAGAGTACGGAAAAGAAATTGGCTAATTCACGAGGCAAAGTCAAATTTCTTTACCTGCCACAGGCCCACAGGAAGAAATTCCAGTTGGAATATGTGAGACCTATGTGCTTCGTTTTTATATATGTGTTGTCCTTTGTGTTGTATGTGTGTACATAAATAAATAAATAATTATATTGTGACAGAAAGAGTAGTCACCATATCTTATTTAACACGCAGTTATCATAGTTAAATATCCGTATCTTTGAAAGTAAATTCGCCATTTTAACTAATTATCTCGTAATTAAACAAGAAATAATGTAATCTAGTATATATTATAATATTATAGTTACATGTAAACGTGTGGCGGTAATGACGTAACGTAGTTAGGGACGTGGTATAGGGGCTGCCGTTTACTGGGATAGGGATGGGATTTGTATCGATATGCCCAAAATTTATCGATGTTTTGCTAATTTATTTTGTATAGTTACGATTTGGTTGGTTTGTCTAAAGTAAAGCGAAGAATTATAATTGGTACCTCTGGTAGAATTTTCTGGTAGAATAAATGTGTTATAGATGTGATAGGTTTTAAAATTACAGTGCCAGTTTCGGTAACGTGGTAATATTTTGAAATAATTTGAATTACAGTATCTGGAAGTAACAGGTATTAAAGTTAAGTTAGGTTTCATCGTGTGACAACGTCTCGGGTTCGATTCCCGCCTGTGCAACATGCCACGTTTGTTAACATAGATCTAAACATTTTTATATAAAATACTAAAAAAATCGATATCCAACACAATACAAATACACCCGATTTATCGATATCGATACTTAAATCCCATCTCCAAAAGCCCTTTGTCACGAGCCAGGTGTCGCGCGGGGTCATTGGGAGCACCTGCTCATGTGTGCGTGTACTCGTGTAGACGTGTAAAAGTGATGAACGCACACATGCATAGTACAAGGGTTTGTTTGGCTGTTTACGCTCACGTCTGCAACATTTGTGTTAAGTACTTCTATGGTATTTTTTTTTATTAGATTTTTTTAAGTGCTAGGTTTAGCTTTTGCCGCGTTTTCACGGTGTAAGTTAACCAAGCTATGTTTTTTTTTCTTCTTCTCTTATAATATCTTCTGATTCACTTCGTTGCGGGAACCAAGACAGTTACTCATGTCCCTGGGACGCGCCGGACTTCAGTGTTCCGGTGTTTTCATGGTTGTATCTACTGTAGATCCTGGCTTACAGGAGTTGCAGCGGTTTTGGGAGGTTGTGGCGGGCTTGTCCCATTAAAAAAAGCTATGTTTTATTCCAGATTATGATCTATTTTTATGTCATACTAGCTAGTTCCGCGCGGTTTCACACGCTTTGCTCAGCTCCTATTGGTCGTAGCGTGATGTTTTATAGCCTATACCCATCCTCGATAAATATGCTATCCAACACAAAATAATTATTCAAATCAGACCTATAGTTACGGGGATTCGCGTTCAAACAAACAAACAAAAAACAAACTTTTCTGTTTATATAATAGTATAAGATATAATAGTATAAGATTGCAGAATTCAGATCCGTTCAGTAGTTTAAGGTGAGAAAATCACATATATATACTTATTGAGCAAACTCAGCCAAAAACTGGATAGCCCCCTTATGAGGCACTGGGTTCAAACTCAAGTGTGCGTGACCGGTGCGTCAAACGGAGGCAAAAACTTAAGTTAATTCTATTGTTAAAAAAAAATTTAAATAATTTGTTTTTTTTTTCATTTCTTCTTTATATTTGTTGGATGTGATGATATTTTTTACCAAAATTGACATTAATTAAATTGGCAATATAATAAATTGAATGATTGATAATACGGTGTTATATATAATGTAATAAATTAAATTAATTAAGAATATATATATATTGAATAATAATAAACTGTAAATGTATGGACCCAATATGTCTGAAATAAATTTATTTTATTTTATTTATTATTTATTTTATTGGTGGCATCTACATTATTTACATTTTATATATCCTCGCATTATAATATTAATAAGGATGAGGTTTTATTTGTCAAATGTGTGTGTAGATTTTAGATGTAGACTAGAAAGTCTAGGTCATAATCATACGCGTTTTGACCGTCTCATGTCTCTGAGGTGATAAAAGGAGCGTTCTAGTTCAATTCTCAGGCCAACTACAGTAAAGAGTAAATGTTGGACTTTTTTAACAGTATGGGGTTTGAAGTTCTGCCCATGCATTGTGTTAGTTACCCCTCTGATACATTGTAACTAAGACAAAAGTGACTAAAAGAGGGTGCCCCGTAACTACACTTCTGCTGGCTACTGTACGTAAAACAGGCGTGATGTTTATTTAGTAATAGCTCTTATTTTTATCATATTATCACTGAAAGCTTTACTTACTTCATAAATAAAATATTCAAACAAGTTTAATGAATAAAGTAACGTGTTCTCTTTCAAATGCTAATATGACAGAGTCTATTCAATCGACACTTTTTGACTTTGACTGACTGAAAAGAATCAGGTTTTGAAAAAATAAATGATTCAAGTAAAAATCTTTGTGTACCTACGTAAGTATAAAACTGGCTTTAATAATAATTCAGGATGACCAATAAACAGGTTTATGTTCAAAATATTACAACTTTAATAAAATATTAGAATTTGCCCCTAACGTATGAAACCCTAAAACTACAACACACAACACACTGGTCCCTACTCAACTGTCGACGGCGTGTCAGACGCGCCGCCAGCTCCAAAATAGCCAGACTGAAACTACAAATTATAAACCTACAATGTTATGTAAGCATTCCTTTCAGGATGCTCCCACCATCCCTTGCAACAATATTTACTCCATAATACGAAACAGCAATAATATTTCAAGCTTTGTAGCGTTAATTATTTCCCTCTTGGAAGATCCACCATGAGGTAAGCTTGGCTAGCAAGTAGCCAAGTGACAGCAATGCTCGAACGAGGGCACTCCCGTCACCACTACAACCCCAAACTCAGGAACAGACGTTCCATAACATTCACCATCGACGCTTCAATACCAACGTCTCTATCCCAGACACAAACGAACCAGCAATGATCATCAAACAATCCGAACAGTTAGAAACACTCCATGCTCACCGCCCCAGGGTAGGTTAAGGGTGCATTGTATACAGCTAACGTCAGATAGCCCGACAAAGTAACCAAAATCAAACGAAATCCAACTTAAAATCTTTTTCATAAGGTCGACAATCCCATTCCACTATCAAAGATAGGTTGTTTGAAACGAGGGTGAAGAAACAGGGGTGTTTGCAGGATGCGGGGCGGGGGGAAGGTAGGGTGCGTCGCGCAGGCGTGCTTCAGTCGCCCGCGCGACCCCGCTGCCGCCGGCCGCGCGCCATGGACGAAGGAAGAGCGCGCGATCGCGCTCCACTCACGGTTATAGTCGCCCCGAGCAACGCCTCACCACCCAGACTGTCACCTGCGGACCTGCTGCCCGATGGGGACGCGGCGTTTCACCCTCTGTCCGCAGTGAACGGGCGCCTGACCCCGCCGGGGCTCGAGCCAGCATCGTACGCGACGCTTACCCCTCTGCTCCCGCTGCCGCCGATCAGCACTGTCTCGGACAAGTTCGCGTACCACGCCGGGGGCACGTTCACAGTAATCCAGCAGCAGCAGTCGTACGCGTCCCTCTCACCGACTGCTTACAATGAGCCGCTGTCACCACAGTCAGCGTACAGCAGGCGGAGTGCATCGCCGAACTCATTCGAAAGGCGATCCCCCACGCCGCCATTACCGAGTCCAGGGCTGGACTTGAACGCGGCGTTGCTTGCCAGGGAGGAGCAGCAAGCGCAACAACAGCAACAAGCTCAGACAGATACAGAAGAAATAAATACAAAAGAATTAGCTCAGAGGATAAGTGGGGAACTGAAGAGGTACTCGATCCCTCAGGCAATATTTGCTCAGAGGGTGCTGTGTAGGTCCCAGGGGACGCTGAGTGACCTGCTGAGGAACCCGAAGCCCTGGTCGAAGCTCAAGTCTGGAAGGGAGACGTTTAGGAGGATGTGGAAATGGCTTCAGGAGCCGGAGTTCCAGAGGATGTCGGCACTGAGGCTGGCAGGTACGTGCTGCATGATTGATGTTTGTAGACTCGGTGCTAGATGTGTGATTATATTTGTTGTTTTTATTGTTTCTTTTCTACAGGTGAGTTGAGCAGACGTTGTTTACCTCTATGATCCTATAGGAATTTCAAACACTATAATATACCATTGACAACTACAATAACATCAAGTTCACTTAAAAATTCGCGGCTAAAGCAGATTCTTGTTAGGTTTGGGAAACCATGTGCTTATAATGCTTTAACAAAAATCAGGTTTTTCAGTCATAACTGAACTCTGAACCCCACCTAACCCAAGCCTCATTTTACCTATTTTTAAGGTTATATTATAACTCCTACACGGACGCTTTAAAATCTAAATGGTGTCATAAATTCAAGTTGAGTGAAGCGTTCCCACTCAGGCTATATTTGCATAATGTGACCTGACCCGGATTACCACGTGGATTTACTTTTATTCACATACATTCATAATTTTCTAGGTTTATGTTTGTATATAAAACCTTTATGACTTCAACATAAATATACATACAGACTCTTTAACTGTATTGGTTAAAAAACGACAGCGTACAGCGAATTTCAAGATTGAAATCTCAGATCAGCATCTTAAACCTTTGACTTGAAATCTAGATTTGTATTAGGTCTAATATTTTCCTAGGGTGTAGGTAGAGGTTACACCCTAGGAGTGAGACCCCTAAAGTCCTTAATACCTAGTCTAATTGTCATACTGAATTAACTACAGCAACAATCTGAACTTTGTCTAAGTCAAAATCGTCTTAATAATATTTTTTAACATGACATAACATCACGCCTTTTATCCCTGAAGGGATAGGCAGAGGTGCACATTACAGCACTTAATGCCACTGTACAATGTAACACCCACTTTTCACTATTTTATATTATGAGTTCCATGTAATAGGGGGTGAGCCTATTGCCATATCCCGTGCATAATTCCGGACTCCCTGCTACTACGGCCTTTTTTTAAAACCCAAAAATGCTTTGCTCGGCCCGGGAATCAAACCCGAGACCCCTTGCCCTTGCAAACACTCGGCCAATGAGGCAATAATCATTTTTATATGCTTTAAAATAGAAAAACAACAAAAACGTGTTGCCTAGGAAACGTACCTAGTATCTAACGGTCGGCAGGCACACTTGCGACGACGCTACCAATAAGGTAAAACAAAATAATGATCCCCATTATTTAGGTGTTATAAAACATTAAAGTTAAAAATGAATTTAGCTTATTTTTTTCTACAAACGAACGAAATTTTGTAAACCGATTTAGTTTTGAAACAATAAGCTGTTGATTAAACTGTCAAACAACGCGAGGACACCGGTGACCGCAACCTATTGTTCTTTATTGTGTCTATAATGACGGTACTCAAAGAGTTAAGTTTTGATTTAACAAAAGCTAGTCTTTCTCAGTCTAGATTAGGTTTGGGGGTCTGATCTAGAAATGTTATTTCAGGCTAAGATTTAGGCATTGCGGCAGACAGATAATAATTACGATGGATGTACCTACTACAGTTTTTGTTTTTATTTATTCAAAAGTAAATTGTTTTGTTTGTTGACTCAAGTTTTCGAAAAGCTATTTTCGTGGCTACAAAGTTAACAATACAAGAATCCTATTTATAATTTAGAGAAATTAATGAGTTTAACATGTATTTTCCTCTTACTAAATCAAATTTTGAAACTTCTATCGTATCGTATATATGTGACGAACTACCATAATATTACCTACCATTTATTCTAACTTTGACAAAATAAATGATATTTGTATTTGTATTTACATCAACTAACGGTAATTTAATAAATCACACACGACATTTTTATAACAAGTACGCATTTTGTCAACCAAAAACTTTTAACAAAAGTAACTTGATATATGAACTATATACACAATTTTAAATTATCTCTAAAGAATCCGTGAATATCTTTAATCTTAGAAAAAAAACATCGTGAAAGAAGAAATACATAGTATTAACAGTAGCCAATAGATGAACTACCTTCTGTAGTACCCCCAACTTTTATGGCTGTCTTGAGAATAGGACTTTAAGATCTCTCCCAACCGTCCCTTACTGCCCTTCTTCAGTGACTCCCTAATCCAAAGTTTAGCCTACTTTCTGTCTTACGAAGCTAAATGTAAAGGTTCTAAGGATTTATTTCGGAGAATAGTACTCACGCAAAGTTGGGGCCGGCTATTAGTTTAATAAGTCCCCAATTATGATTCCTTTTGTCGATATTTCTATTGTTAATCTTGACTGAAATTATCTACAGTTGTATCTATGGAAAAAACATGTCTTTAATGTCATGTTAATCCAGGTCATGGTCTGAACCCTCAACAGCTACTACAAGAAGTCTCATTATAACATTTTCATAGGCATTTTCTCATTTAAATCAGTAGTAGCATGTGAGAAAAGATAGGAAAAGTAACTGAAAATCGTTGAGAAACTATATATATAGTATAAGTTTCATACAAAAACGTTCACTACAAACAAACTGAATAGCAGTTTTCCACGAAAAGACGGCAGATGAACGTAGCGTAACGGGCCAATGATGTGACACAAGTTATCGACAAAACGCATAGAGTTTACAAACATCGGCCGCGTCAGCTGCGTCCATCGATTCGTACAATCGATGCGTTGGGTCAACCGCGCGGTCGATGAGGCACGTCACTAGTTCGTGTAGCCACGCGATTCTTTAAAGCGGGATTGTCTTGAAAGATAAGTGTGGATGAATGGATGAGTGTTGGCGTCTTTCATTCAACGATGTTTTTGATAATGGTAAAGGATTGTATTTGGGAAAAATATTGCGCATTTTATAATTATTTTCCATTTTTTAATTTTTGAACGAGGTTTTCTTTTATTGACCATATTACAATCGTCAAAATATTTAAGACTTTTTTGATAATTTACAGAAATAAGAATTAAAAGACAAATTCAGTACTATATAATATTTTTTCCGTACAAATAATAATAATGTACCTGCAATATATTTTATCGATCATTAAAAATGTAAAACACAGCTAGGAAACGTCAGCTGCGTCCATCGATCCCTCTATAATGAATGCACGGTCGATGTGTGACGTAACTATGGGGTGCGTTACCCTCGCTCAAAGGGATTTATAGTTTCGGTTTGTGCGTTACTAATTTATTCAAACCCTGGACTTTATTATACATACATGATTAGAATTCTGTTGGTTGCTTGACTCGTATTATTATTGTAAAGTTTTTGTTTGGAATATGTACGATTACTTATAATTTAGATTCTTAGATATACTATCTCTGATATAGACTTAATATATTAATAAAAATCTTAAATGAGATCTTTGCTATATTTAAATATCTAATGCCAATGACTTAAAAGCATTCTGTGACATGAAAGATTGAAAATTAGAACCGTTACCTAATTGTTTGATAACGTGTATTTTTTGTTCTAAGTGAAACTTAAATAATAATTCAACAATAATTCAGTCTTCAGAGTTTCAAGATTATACTCTATATGTCAGCCTTGAAAAGTCCTATTTTCCTTAACCTTTTTCCAAAAACCAAATTATTTTTGGTTACCCTACTCAATTTGGTTGTACGTGTCGTCGACACGCGACCGCTAGGAACGTTCAGTAACCATTGCGTTTTACTTACGAGAGTCGCAGGGACATAGGTACAGTAAACAGGCAATGTATATAATGTATAGTGTTCGTTGCGTGGTTTACTAGTTATGATAGATGGGCACCATTCATATAATAATGAGGGTAGTTTTCTTGTCAGGATTTTAATGTGATGTAGGGTAGTTAGCTGGCATAATTATTTTAATGAGGGATTATTAAATTCAGTGATTTTCTTTTCATTGCGTGGTCTGTTAATGCGATTTTTAAACAGTTTACTTAAAATCATTAAATTATCTATGGAACCCAGTTATGCATGTTTTCGGTTTTTTTTATGGGATATCGGCATAAACGAGCAGACAGATCACCTGATGGTAAACAATCGGCGTCGCCCATGGACACCTGGAACACCAAAAGCGTTACAAGTGCGTTACCGGCCTTTTGGGGATTAGGAGTTTGAGGATTGTTGGGGATTAGGGGATTGGGGAGATTAGGGAAGGGGGGAGGGAGTTGGGTCTCCGATAACCTCATTCACACGACCAAACACAACGCAAGCGTTGCTTCGTGTTCTGTTAAATTACATTAATGTTCGTGGTCAGTCATTGAGTTATTGGTTTCTTTATTTATTATTAACTTTCATTAGGTTTCCATACATTGGATGTTGACTTTAGTTTGCTACAGGCTTCAGTTAGTAGTAGGTCAGGCTACAGTTTCGAACCACGGAGGTGTTCTTCCTCATGAGCAGTGTGCGGCGACCGCGTACGCTGCTCTTGTGGTTCGAAACTAGTAGAGCTTTTCTCAGTACATTCACGTGAGTAACCCGCGATTTTAGTTAATTTAACCTCATAGTGTTGGTGAAAGTTCAATCGAGGATAAAATATCATTATTATGTATCATAAAAAGAGAGGGCGCCGTCCGATTATACAGATTGGCGATATATTAAAGACGGGTCAAATTTAAAGTGCCCTTAATCGACGAGCATGCATGAAAAGACTGATGACTGTTGATGAAGCGAAAGAGGTAGGAATCGTAGCAATTGGCGTTTCATAGTCTTTGTCTATTTCCAAGGCGTGAAGTTATGTATATACAGAAGGAGTTTCGTCATTTCCTATATTGACTTCTATGTTATAAGTATACTTGACGTCTGACGTCATAAAAGCCCCGTTTTCTCTTAATATAGCACTGAGATAGCATTGAGAGTATTTATATCTTTTGTTTAATATTATTGTGGTTCTTATTGTTTTCATAGACATTTTATTTGTCTTTGTGTAGTACTTTGGTGGGGATATGTATCCTTACTAATATTATAAATCGGAAAGTGAGTTTGTTTGTTTGTTCCGCTTTCACGCCGTAACTGCTAAACCGATTGCTTTGAATTTTTGCAGACGTAAAGTTAGAAGTCCAGATTAAATCATAGGGTACTTTTTATCCCGGAAAAACTTGATATTCCCGAGGAAAAACAAAAGTATTGGTATAGATGGCGCTTTGTGTATTGGTATATGTCACATAGGCTACGTTTTATCCTTTTGTGACGCGAGCGAAGCCGCGGGTAAAAGCTAGTAATTATATATATCTAAGTACATATGTTCAATAGGTACTTACAACAGTGTTAAACTTTTACACCTACTATTGTGTCTCTCTGCATCACCCTAAGGTTGACTGTTAGAGAATGCCAATAGCCATTAAGTCTCTATACAAGAAGTGTAAAAAAATAAAATAAATAAACTGTCATCTGAATTTGGATAGGTAGACTTAACTAGGAATCTATACTTTATAACGAGTGAATTTAGAAATTGGGAAGATTGAGAAAGGGGAGGGTAATTGGGCCCCCGGTAACCTCACTCACACGACGAAACACAACGCAAGAGTTGCTTCACGTCGGTTTTCTGTGAGGCCGTGGTATTATTCCGGTCGAGCCGGCCCATTCGTGCCGAAGCATGGCTCTCCCACAGCTTAAAATATTACATTCATATACTTACTCTATATCTTTAATATGAAATTATTATTTAATATACATTAATGGTTATGTTACGCTTTGGCTTAATGCTCATAATTAAAGATTTTCAATGGATCTTGAATCTTTAGGGAAATATTTCAAAGTCGTGTGTCAAAGGTATTAATGGGTGAAATATTAAATCTGTCTTTGATTAAAATGATGCTAGATTTACAGTAAAATGTTTGATCCTGTATTCCAGTTTGATCGGAAGAAAATACTTGAGTTAAGAGAATAGTATTTGACCTTTCCTATGTTTAAAACGGGGATTCACGCGAGACACAATATATTTCCTATTGTGTATCTCTTTGTCGCGGAGAACCTAACGGGTTACTGGGGCTCTGGCTCGATGTGCAGGAGAAGGAACGGGGTGGTTTTTAGTCAGTAAGAGTCACCCAGGCGGGAGCAGTCATAAGATGATTTTCGCAACCTTAAAAAAAAATTGTGTACCTATCTATTTATTTATTTACTTAGTCTTTAATGTACACAATTTTTTACACAATGACACATTTTTTTTTCATATTTGATGAGCCGACGTTTGGCCGCTATCTCGCCTAGTTGTAAGTAAGACAATGCCACATTAGGCAAACTTAATGCCATTTGGCATTCTCTACCAGTCAACCTTAGGGTTTAAGTAGAAAATCTGTGAAAAATAAGGCACGGAGAATAAAATAACTTCATAACTTCAAGAGGTTCAATTGGAGAAGTAACACTGGGCTTAGGTTGCCTTCAAATTTTATATAAACCTCATGACAAATATACTAAAAAGACTGCCTCGTTGGCCGAGAAGTCGCAAGTGCGATTGCCGGGCAAGGGGTCTCGGGTTCGATTCCCGGGTCGGGCAAATAATTACTAGGTTTTTTGTTAAATTCTCAGTAGTAGCACGGAGTCTAGAATTGTACCCAGTACAATGGGAATAGGTGGCTCCTATGATTTATAACATAAATAGTGAAAAGTGGGTGTTACATTGTACAGTGGCATTAAGTGCCGCAATTTGCACTTCTGCCTACCCATTCGAATATAAAAGGTGTGATGTTATGATATGTTAAAAAGACAACTAATACAAGTATACATAGATGAATTAAAAGAAGAAAGCTCTGTTGCTACTGCTAGTAGTTTAAAATTTAGATTTTTGCTTACTCCCGTGGTACTAAGGTTTATGAATGGCTGGGTAGTAGATACCCGAATAAATGGTTGCAAGAGTGACTGCCGAGACAATATATAAAACTACGACGTTAATGATGATGCTACAATGTAACTTATTAATTCAATGATACTTGATTTTATGGTTCTAAGCAATTACCTGTATACATTTGGAAAAAGTAACAGTATGGCCTTAAGTCCTTATATACATACATGAAGCTTACGCACGAAGCATTCAAATAAAAGTTATTCTATAAAAAAAAAACATCCAACAAAAACACATTTCCATTTTTTAGGTTAGTAACAAATCACGTGGAAGTGCGACCATATTATTTTAGGCTGTTACTCTTTTAGAAATCCCATTTTTATCCGCTAATGTTTTATTGCTTCACCCAATTTGCGACAGGAGGCCAATAAAATGTCCTAACCCTGGTAGACACCATCAGTTACCCTGAAGAACTTCAAAAAGCCTCCAAAAAGGTAGTACTGCAAACGAGGCGATGCGATGTTGGTTACCCCTCCCCCCGTGACGTCAGACCACCCTCTTTATCGATCCATCCCTCCCCCCCGCACACCCGCCGCCGGTTCAGTTATACGTACCTATATGGGGTTTCTTGGACATTTTACCTTTGATATACGGTTGGGGTTTTTATGGTATATTTTATTTATTGGACTTGGGGTTCCAGATTTATTGGGACACGTGGTTCGGGGTCTTATGACCTCTCGGTATGTTCAAAGAATCTGGAAAAATGAGGTCATAATTGAGCCTAAAATTTAGAACGACGCTTTCTAGATTCGGGTGTTTTTAATAGATAGGTATTCTAAATCGCATGACCTTTGAAAACCTTGAACGTAAATCCATAAACTAAATATTAGTCAAAGTTACTTGTAATCCTATATTGGCTGGGGAGATTTATTGTGCTGAAATTGGATAGGTTAGTCACCCTTCATATTTATTAGTCATTTCGGCTTCAGAAGTTATTTCTTCTATTCCTTTTGTGTGTGTATTCCTAAACTTTTTGCAGCTCGATTTTTCTAATAATACAATACTCGGAAAAATCCTTCTGTCTTCCTTCATTTTTATTTCCTTTAATAACCTTTCTTAGAATATGTTCCAAGGCTCTCGTAAGTCCAAAAATAATTTCAGGGTGAAATATCCGGTTCAGTGTTGATACAAGAACAGATCGATATCATTAGTTTGATAAATAAATCAAAAGTAAACACTAAAATAATCGGAGTTAAGCATTAGAATCCCAATCTTAAACACCACATTCAGTTACCAAAATTAAATCACTTTAATTTTACAGATACGCCAAATCAGCATCAAACGATAAAAGGCGACAATGTAAACAACATGCCTCAACAACCTTACTGCCAGCCTCGGGAGTACCAGGGTGCTCCACCCGCGCCCCAGGGCTCCACAATGTACCCCGGGCCTTCGCCCCACTGGGACGCACCCTACGAACCAGCTGGGGACGTTTCTTGCTTGTGAGTCCGCCCCACTTCTTTCGATCCTGGATTCCATCATCTTCCTATCACCTACTCTCTTCTATCCTTGGGATTCTTCATGGTTTTTACTAATTTTGTTGTGGGTCTCATTTTTTCAATTTAACCATCTTTGCTGAATCGCTCGCTTTATTCATTGTCACATCTTTTGGTTTATATGGTTCGTCATCATTCTCATCGTCACTTCTGGAATCATCCATTGCGCTCTCATCTTTTTAATTGCTGTTCAAGATTCTAATTCCTCCCTCCCCGAACCTCTCCCCTCCATCCTCCACTCGTGGCTGCGTAGCAGTGGACTTGGTTTCTCATAGGTATTATAATGTGTATTATAGCTTGTCGCAAAGGTAAAACACAACACATAATAATATAATAATTATAGAAACACTAATAATAATTTTGATTCGCAGACATCTTTGTGACAAGTCAACTTAGACTGAGAGGTTAAATGAATGGATATTTTTGTTCTGTCAATCAAATGTGTAAAATGTATAGAGATATTGCTCATAGATGTTATTTTTTTCTGAATAGGCAGTATCCTTTCCCGGGCTTTAGTTTTGTTTGGCTTTTGTGGTATCGATACTGCCTAATGATTGTTTAATTAGATAATGTTTTTTGAAACATTATTTCTAGCTGTAGGTAAGTGTTATTTTGTTAGCTTAAAGAGGCCAAGATGAATGTTAGACTGCTACCGCGCCCTATTCCCTCCCTTTTTGTTTCTCCCTGCGCCCGGGCTGCAATAGTTCTTTATTATATGATTTTATAGGTGCCTGCGAGATTTCAGAACCCTTTGTTAATGTTGTTTACATTGTCGCCAGGTATGCGTTTTTATATAATACGTTTGGTGTTTAGAATACTTTCGATATGTTGGAATTTTATCACGAAATAGATGTTCATTCTAGAAGTATTAGAAAATAAATAATTTAAAATTATTTTATTTGTAATGATTTGGTACAACTACGAAATATTTTGTGTGATTCCAGCATGTCAACGTTAGAATTAATAGAGAATATATCAATGTATAAATGAATGTATAGACAGATTTTATTTTATTAGTGTGGGAGTATGAAGTATCACAAAGATAAACTTTAATGTAATCATAAACTTATAATAATAAACCATATTTCCACCCTAATAAAATTGAATCTAGAAAAATCGACCGGTCCCATGTTGGGCGCCAATAGACAAATATAACAAACTCAATGTTAGATCCATTTTTATAGCTGGTGTTACTCTTATCTTATATAAACGTGACACAATTTTCAAGCTTTTATAAGTATACTACGAAATAAAACAAATTAAAGTAATTAGAAATGAAATAGATGAAGATTCAGTTGTTCATGAAGTAGTTAAAAAAGATGGTATCTTTGTAGAAGCTTTAAAATTTAGTCGTCTATGTTTAGAAGCATGTTTGTTGTGTATAGACAATAAGCTTGATAGAGAACCGTCAAGCGCCAATAGACAAGTCCACGATGAAGGAATTTTCTTTTTTGATGTCAAATAACTAAAATCTGTATATTTTTTGTTGTTACAGCGGCCCAGATCCCACAGAGAGGCAGTGAGTATCTTGAACCTTATCCTAACAGCATTAAAGGCGAGAATTATTTATCATTGCTTATTTAATATTTAAGGCTTAGCATTTAAATGGGAATCATTACGTTAGAACCAGAATTTGAATATCGTCTTTCTCATTTAAATCAAAATGGTTGCTTAAGTAATTAAGCTTTTAATATAATTTAAAATAATAATTTCTATTCGAAGATTTGAAGTACCATTTTGGTTGATGAGGAAGATTTCCAAAAGTATACTTTGAGGCAAGATTAAAAGACTTTCCATCCTGGAGTGAAATCAGTCAATATGTGGAAAGTTTTCTTCTAACTCTTGTCTTCTCTCTCTCTAGTCTTAACATGAAGCCATTATGATGTTATCCCTGGAGTATCTTAAGTCAGACAAGAATTCCTTCCCCACAAATATTGCTACATTTCCACGGCTTCTCTTCCGACCCTTCATCATACCATAGTTCAATTTTTGTACGATAACATCTTGAGTTCAATTCTCAAGTTCAGCAAAGTATTATTGGGTTTTTTGATACTGAAAGTACTTAGTGGTATCATGGAGTCTGAATTTATGACTTTATGGTCCCAGATCAACATCGTCATCATCCTGAACATGATTTACGAAGTTAGGTGTTATATCTAGAAGATTAAGGTTGATAGTTTAAAATAAGTTTTTAATAAGTAAATAATATCAATATTAAGATCTGTTTATTTCTTTTCACTCAACTGCAGGAGACAGCCGCATATGTACGTACCTATTTTTAGATTCGTGCTGTATTTTAGGGGCCAAACTGGAGTCGTTGATGTTTTTGTTTCGTTTCTTGTCAAAATTGTTTTTGTGGCACCTATTATTATAAGCCAAGGTCCCAATTTATATCAAGAAAATAATTTAAACAGTCAAACACCGCGAGGGCACCGGTGACTGCAACCTATTGTTCTTTAATTGTGTCTATAATGACGGTACTCAAAGGGTTAAGAGCGATTGTTTAGATAACAGATAAAAAAATACATATAATTGGACCTGTTTACTCCTAAATTACAGTTTTTTTTTTAAAAATTCAAAAGTTATAAAATCACACATCTCAAAAGTGCCATCATAATTCCAAATACTATTGGCGTTACAATTGTCAAAATGAAACAAAAGTGTCAAGACTCCTGCGAGGCCCTGTGAGCAGAAACAATAAAGGTGATATTTTGGTTCCAGGTTGCAAGCGCAAGGAGGATTTGGGTTCGGATATGGCTTCCCCGAAGAAACCGCGTTTGGTTTTCACAGACCTCCAGCGGCGTACTCTACAGGCTATTTTTAAGGTAAATATAATAATTCTTGTAATATAACATCACTTATTTAACCTAACTGACCATGTTAAGGAAATATTTGCTTCTCAAGAAGATTCTCGTTTATTTGTAGGTTTTATTTATTTTATTTAACTAAAATTCAGTAAGGGGCTACTTGATTACACCTAGAAAAAGACTCAAAAGAAGGAGTTACCAATCTACCTTCTCTTTGCAAAGGAAAGAAATAAAAAGGTGAAAAGTAAAGACTAAAAATGTTATCTATTAGTGTACGTTGTTGATGCTGCTCATGTCTTAGGAATTTCAGTCTTATTAGACATTTTTCTATCTTTGAAACCCTTGGCTTTTTCCACAAAGTGTTTTTAGTGTCCAGTTTACATTATCCATTTTTTAAACGTTGCTCCACGTTAGGATTTTCTCCTGTGTCATGGGTGCGTTTACAAACATACAAGTTCACATACACATGAAACCCAGACCCGGAACAACAATCTGTGGATCACACAAAGAGTTGCTCCGTGCGGGAATCGAAACCGCGACACGTTGCGCGGCAGCCAGTTGCCTAGCCACGGCACCAATCGTGCCGTCACACTTCAGTCTTGTTAGATTTCCTTCTATCTTTAAAAGTCTTGGCTTCCGCCATAAAGTCTTTAGTATCCAGTTGACAATACTCATTATCTTAATATATATAAATCTCGTGTCACAATGTTTGTCCTCAATGGACTCCTAAACCACTTAACCGATTATAATAAAATTCGCACGTCTGTTATTATTTGACAGTCACAATTATCTGTTAACTCCAAATGATTCTAACAGATGTTAATACCTTTCGACTCGGTTGAGTAAGTAATCAATAGATGGCGCTGCTATGGTAAATCTACGAACGTGTCAAATAAGCTACATTTTAACAGCATAATTACCACGTGTTGTTGACGCTATTAGAATATATATAATACATGCATATTGCACCCGTGCGAAGCCGGGACGGGTCGCTAGTTACTATAAGTATTTAATCTTAATAAAAAGATTTGTAAATCCTTTATTAATCAGAAATTCTAATCCTATAAACTAAACCATTCCAGGAAACAAAAAGACCATCAAAAGAGATGCAAGTAACAATAGCGAGACAATTAGGACTAGAGCCTACGACAGTGGGCAACTTCTTCATGAACGCGAGAAGACGGTCGATGGACAAGTGGAAGGATGACGACGCGCCAAACACAGATCTCGACCAGCAGTGTGAACCTCATGACCTGGACAGGGTTCCTAGTCTTGATTCAGCAGAATCTGAGGAAGACCACGATGACCACGATGACCATCTTTTGTGACGCCGTCTTCCCCATCAGCAGCTTCTCGTACTATGAGAATCGCTTGTTATGGGCTCCGAACTGTCTGTTTCCGTTGTTGAGAGGGATAAGTACTAATTTATTTTTATTTTTGTCATGTTCTGGTTAGGTTTTGTACGCTGATTTACTTGGTCTTTTATGAAATCTAATGCTGTAGATTTCAATTAATTTCTATCAGTATTAGATGGGATTTTGTCTTGAATATTTTTCAACAGCTGGTTCAAAATTCAATTTTTAAATTTTTCTATATTGCTGTTCCAATTTTAAATGTTAATTTACAATCAAGTCATCATTTTCGAAATTTTCGGGGCCCTAAACAAAAATAAGTTAAATATAAAAGTGTACAGTCAAAACTTACGTGAATAGTGCGACGCCGAAGCCGTTTTAGATAAAGTTTAGTTGTTAGCCGCTGGGTTGCGCCACTGAGTCGAAGATCAAGAGATTTGTCGGTAGACAATCGATTATCGATTGAAAATGTGAGGAGAGTGAAACAGGTCATTGCTATGATTAGTAATTTTTAGGCAATTAGGAATGTTTTTTCTACGAGAATGACTGAAGCGAAACAGGAAATTGTAAAAGCCTCCTCACTACTTTATCGACAAGTCTATCGATAAAATAATAGTGTTGCGCCCCAGATTGATCTCTATATCAAACGTTTCTAGTCAAACGTGAACTAAAATAGTTAACATTTAGTTTTTATTTTAGAACGACAATATGTATTTTTTAGCGTAACACAATCACTTTGGATTTAGGCGTCTGATCGATTCAAAGTCATATAAAAAATCACAGCCCGGTTTTAGTGCAATAATAAACACAATTTTCTTGTATTTTTCATATAAGTGTAAGTTAAAAAAGAAGTATTATTAAGTATGAATAAATGTTAATACAAAATGGCGCCTCTATTCAAAGTCGATTGTCATTAGATAACTGTAAACAATAAAACAATGGATCTTTTTAACGTAGAGTGAATATCCGATGAAATCGGATCGAAGTAATAATATTTAAATAAGGGATACGTTACATGATTTAAAAGTTACATTTAGTTATTTATTTTTTGGATAAAACTTATCGATTAACTAAACATCGCGGGTTACTCACGTGAGTATACTGAGAAAAGCGCTACTAGTTTCGAACAACTCATGAGCCTCATGAGCAGCGTGCGCGGTCGCGGCGATGTCGCGCAGCCTAATGGCTAGCGTTGGCTAGAGCTTTTCTCAGTATATTCACGTGAGTAATCTACGATTTTTAGTCATTTAGTATGTCTCACGATAGTAAATTAAGTAAAAATGCGGGTTACCCACGTGAATATACTGAGAAAAGCTCTACTAGTTTCGAACCACAGAGGGGTTCTTCCTCATGAGCAGCGTGCGCGGTCGCGGCGACGTCGCGCAGCTCACTGGCTGGCGTCGGCGCTCGCCTCGAAGAAAGAACCCCTCTGTGGTTCGAAACTAGTAGAACTTTTCTCAATATATTCACGTGAGTAACCCGCGTTTTTACTTAATTTAGTATGTCTCACGATAGTTATTATAAAAACAAAACTTATCGATGTTTTCAAAAAGTTGCCCATCACTATCTAAGGATTGTGCACACTAAATGTTTTTTGATATTAAGGTCAATGCCCTTCCAAAAGGCTACAAAATTGTGTTGTTTTTAAAATGATTTAAACCTAACTAGCGAAGGTTATTTGTAAAAGAATTCAATTTTACTCGATTACTGCAGCTGTTATAATATCATAGTAGTGTAACAACAAACTGGTATTTATCAGCAATGTTTTTAACTGAAGTCAATGCGTACAGATAAAAATAACTATAAATTATTATATTATTCAGACCTCAATTTCGGCCATTGCGACTTGACTCAGCCAATCAAAAATTTCACAGATTTTTCAGATGACTGAAGTAACCGAATCTTTACAGTGAAAGTAATAATTATTGTAATACATACTTAGTTAGTAAAAATCGTGTAACGTAAACCACCTAGTCACGATTTCATAAACATTCCATTTAATTTTACAACGGCTGATTAAAAAATTTAAAAGCAACTTTGTGCGTGATATTATCTAGTTATTAACTTTAGGTATAAAATGGTATTTATTTAAGAACTGCTTCATTATAAGTCTAGTCTGATTTGTGCAACTGTAGGTTATTGAATAAAATAATAATGCTTGGAACAAATTGTTGGAAGCACTGAGCGAGCGAATGCAATGTTTCTAGGTATTAAGTGGACATTATTCCAGTGTGAATTTGACTATGTAATATATTTTTTAATTATTCGTATCTCTTTTCTGTTGATTGATTTGTTTAGGAGTTTGTTCATTTATGAGCTGTGTGCTTACTTTAAATTTAAGCTATTACTTATAACAGTACAATTATACATTTTGCAGCTTACAGATCATTCAAAACCTATTTTAGTTCAAGTTATTTTAGATAAATTGCTGCAAAAATCCAAATTCTTAAATATCTACCGTCCATCAAAAAGTGGATTATATATTATTATCAGAAGTGAATAAAATCATTTATTTGTTAATCAACAGAAAAGGGACTTAGAAAAAACTTCTATGTTTTTTACTGTTTTCAGTATAGCGCGTAGAAAATGATTCTTATGTAGAAGTATGTAAATAAATTACAACGTTTCAAGCAATATTGGTAGTTGTAAACTTTGCAAATGCCTCCTATTAATAGCGATGTCACTATAAGAATTTTGTACCTGTATGTAATATTTGTATTTTAATATTATTATAATATGACTCATTATTGTATGCAGTTACTGTTTAGGAGTTATAACTAGTCACTATAATTACTGCATATAATTTTTATCTGGTTTATTCAAAGCTATATTTTATAGCGTTCGCGTCGCTCGCGCAGTGTGCAATAGACTTAACATTCTACAGGATGGTTTTTAGTTTAAAGCGAATATTTTTAAGTTTAAGTTTAATTTAAGTAAAATTTATTTATTAATTTAAAGTTTATTTATTATTAAATGCCTAGTCTCTGTATATTTAAGACCAAAGATGTGTTTAGTGCAATTCTTTTTGTGTTTCTTTTTCTCTTAAGTAATAGAGTTGATTTTTATTTTTTTATACCATATCCATGCATGATTTTTATGTTTCAGTGTGTTTTTATTTTTAGTTTAATTTTAATACATAAACAAATATTTATTACGATACAAAGTTTTGTTTTCATTAATTGTATTGTTCTTTACTCCACTTTATCCAGTACCGTTACTGGGCCGTTACCAAAATGAAAGGTCTCCAGAATCTCTGTCAAATTATTGTACAATTCTATGTTTATATTACAAACGTGGAACATATCTTGTCCCTATATTATTTATGTGGTTTTGGGACATTATAAATATGTATTTAATAATTACTTTTGCAAGTCTATACAAATATTTACCTACAGAAAATAATATAATATTTTAGCGGTGAAATAATATGTATTTTCCATTTCAATTAATTCTGTAATTTGCCGTAACTTACGTCTTACCAAAGCTGAGGTAAAATAAGTGGAAAATGAAGAAAAGATCCGCTGATTTTTATATTAACATACGTGTGAATACATTTTTATGAATAAGAATGTGAAAGTCCAATTCTGTTATGAAAAACGTCACGAAATAATTTTGCCTCTTATTCAAATTGACTATTCAATATTATTCTAATTTGCAAGCAGTAAGTAGTCATATAGGACAATATTTAACATAGGGTATCCCATTATTAAGACTTGTATATTAGATCATTGAATTGATCCGTTTTTTGTTTAACTTATATACCTCGATGACACACGTATACGTACCTACGGTAAAAGTAAAAAGTGGAGAAACTTAATTCAAAATAGAAAATGGAAAATGATAACGACCGAAGAATGGCAATAGTTAACATTCTTTTATGTCTAACCTTTAGGGCCAAAACACATACGGTGTTGCGGCGCCGCGCCGCTAGAATTGACAGTAGCGTCACTGCCGATTTAAGCAGCGCGGCGCCGCAACGCAGCGCTCGCTCCAGCATAGCAGAGTAATGTCTTCTTAAAACAAATAAGCAATAAGTTTTTCACGATGGTCCATGGCAGAGACACGTCTATCCACAATAAAAAATCACGACAAACTGGTTATCCTACCGAACGACAACAAAACGCTCTTTTTCACGACGCCGCAACGCAAACTGCCGATTTTAGCGTTACGGCGACGCAACGCGGTTATGTGTTTCGGCCCTCAGAGTCCATTTTTAAATTGTATTCAATTATATATATACTAGAACTTAAAATCTGAAGTTACTTAATACACAGCTACTTTTTCCTAACCTCGGGTGGTTTCTATTAAGTAAATGTTTTTCAAATTTGTTTTTTTTTATAACAATGTGTAGACGCCATTTAAGCTGTATGATTTTAGTTTGTATTATTAAAATGGGTTAATAGACTAGTCAAAAATTATATGACTGTATATTTATTAATAGAACTGTAATATTCTAGAATTCCTTTTTATAATTGAAACAAAATAATCTTTTCAATTCCATATATAGTCCACTTACATTCAAAATGCATTTTTCTTTAAAGATATTTCTGATACTTAATATTAAGTGAAAAAATATGAATGTATCAAAGAAATTGCGCACAAAAAACGTTCAGTACAGGACACAATTTTTGAGTTTTCTGGAATTTTATTTATTTTTGGCTCTCCGTAAGTTTTTCGCGTAACCTGTACTTAAAATACCAAGTTTGATACAAGTTCGAGTGGAATGCAAAAATGTAATATTTTTGTGTATGTATAGTACTTGATAGTGCGCTTTCCAATGTAAATAGTTCGTGATTATATGTAAGATTATATGTACATTTTACAAATCTATGTGTCTTATTTTTACCCTTATTTCCATACACACTTTATTTATTATTTATTAGCGACCCGCCCCGGCTTCGCACGGGTGCAATAAGCATATAATACATGCTTATAAATAAATATAAACCTTCCTTAAGAATCACGTATCTATTAAA